TTTTTTGTCCTAATTCTACTGGGAATATGAATTTTCTAAATGATTGTGTTGCAGTTTTCAGATATATGGTTCACTGTCGACGATACATGATCATGATTTTGAAATTGTACGAGGAAGATAGACTGGAGGGAATGATTACTGAATGGGATGATGAAGATGAATTGAAACTAACGACACTGTCGTGGAAAAGTATACCATCTCAATGTCCGGCAGTTGTGGATGGAGGTATAGTTTTCGAAAATTTTATAGTTTGGACTTTGGATTTGATATACCAATTTCATAATTTTGACAGATATAACCGGAACATATTGGCATGTTTTTTGGTGCCTGGTCCTTCAAATGCTTCGTTTAATTGCGAGTTTTGCAAGTAAAAAAGATTGAAGTGTTGGACTGTAAGAAACAATTTCTGTTGCTAATCCATCGCATTTATTTTTTACTTGGAGTTTTGAACTATGGGGTAGTGAAATTGAATAATACCACGTGGAATAAGCTGTTTAAGCCTCATATTAGGTCGTCTATTGGGATAATTGTAACTCCCCGTCCGGGGCAATTATTGCATGGATGGACGAGAGAAATATTTATATGTCCAAAGTCATCCTCCGAATGTTAGTTCATCATAAGCACTAATTTTGTGAATGAATATGTGGTTTACAATGTGCAAAAAGAATATATTGAAATAGTAAAGACGCCAGAGAGTTTCTTAAATATTGTTGGGTTCTTTTGGCCTCAATTTTTTTTTTGTTTAGATTATTTTTTGTTTTCATATTAGGGCAATCCAATGTTTCTTTTGTAACTTTGATGTTCTAAAGGTGGGATATGTTACAAATAAAATATGTGATTTTTGTTTAAGTCGTTGTGTATATATGTCTTGTACTTTTTTTCGATTTTTTAGCCCAATAGAAAAATGATCCATTGAATTGTAAATTTTAATGAATTGCAAAATATTTCAATAAATTTTGTTTCGTATGAAAAGTTGAATATCATGGACTTTATATTTGGAATAGTTCAGTTTATAGTTTTCTTTTATTGAGCCTGATTATGATTCAAACTTTTTTTTTTATTTATTTGGCCCATATCTTGTAGATTTTATTCTACAACAGTATGATGTTTCGGTCTACAGTTGTTCTTTTATTAGTTCAACACTTGGCCCAAAAATAGTGTATGTAAAATATTCCATTGAGACTTCTAATAATTCTACTTAAATTAATACAAATATGAAATCTCTGTCTGTGTTATTTTTTTGGTACAGATTGAGTGATTAGAACTGTATATGGATACCAACAACATTTATAATTTCTGTATGAACTTTCTACGCACAGTAGATATAAAATGACGATACTTGTTATTTTTGAATAATTTTTATTTTGATGTTATAAAAATTTTTTTATCATCTGATAATTTACGTTTCATCGCAAAATATTGTATTCTGAGTTATACTTTTTTTTCTTTCAAATATAGTGTCCCAACTAAAATACTAAACATACACGATCCCATCAAATATTTATACATATCAACATGCAACATCACATCAATTCAAATGAATTATTTCTTTCCATTAGTTATTTTACTTTTATAATTACTCTCATTTAATTCTTTAACCACTACTTCTATCATTTCTCACTTTCCTACTTTCTTTTTTCCGGTGACTTGCTTCATTTTCTCTCTCTACTCAAACTTTTTCTTATCACAAGTATTCATTATCTAGACGAGGTGCGTGGTTTTCTTATTCCGATAAACTTATTGTTTTTTTTTGTTGTTATGATCCAATCGTCTATTCATGTATCCAAACCACACTTTTTGTTAATGTTGATTTTGTTTTCACTGTTCCTTTTTGTTTCTTCATTATTTTAGATTCATGATTTATTGAAGTTTTATACTTTTATAATATTGTGTGATCTTTTCATTGTTCTTATTAATTTAAGATTATATAATTATTATGGTATGAACTAAGTGATGAACAAAATCTTTGATATTTACATTTCTGATCATATATATTTATATATATATATATATATATATCAGTGAAACATGATTGTTCAATTCATCATGGATGATCACTTCCAGTTTATGTACATCGTTCCTAATGATTACCAATTGTTGGGTTTTGTAAGAAATTTTTCATTGTATCTTATAATAGTTTATAAGTGCCAATATGAATTTCTTTTTAAATTTAGAGCCTGACGAGTTGTTTGCGTGAATGTTTCGATTGGTATGTGCTAAAAAACATCAAGCTTGATAGTCCTATTGGTGTATTCGAAGTATAAACGAGAATTTCTGACAACAGAAGGGTGCTTTTTTTGGAAGAAATCTATTAAAGTTTGCTATGGCTATGGGTATCGGTTGTCGAAGCCGTGTGCATTTTCATTATAGAGGCAACTATGAATTCGAAGTTTGGTGCAAATGGATTTCAATCTATTATGCGAATTCATCTTACTCCATTTGGCATGAAGTGCACATTCAGAGTGAATTATGTTTCCTATGACAGCTTTACAGAAAGTTTGTTTCTTTTAAAATGTCAGTTTATGTTATTTCTGTGACCACTTATATACACGCTGAATATTTGCAATCATTTATATGTTAATAGTGTAATGTACATGGTTATTATTTCAGGTGATTTCTCCTGTTTTTTACAATCCATAACCTTGCCTCAAACAGATTTTGTCTCTGTTGAATTTGGCGGTACCAATTATGAATTTCGCATGCATTCTGATGTTGATGTTGCTGGTCTTTTTTTGATTTCCATTGGTGAAATTTCATAGAGGTTCACCACCTGAATTCAAACCAGGTTATGTTGCTTACTTATGTGCACAAGATTACATTTTTGCTCGATGTTTTTGATGGATATGGTTTTAACATCCTTACTGCTGATCACCCGTCAGATTTCTCATCAAGTAAGTCATCATGGGTAGTCCTCAATCAAAATTTTGTTTTAATATATCGTCTTTGAATATGGATTATTTTTATGATAAGTTAGGTGATGATGATGAGCCATAGTTCGACGGAGATGTATTAAGTTTGAACTTATATTTTGCCCTTGATTAAGCAGTTTGTACTTTTAAGCTACCGTGGATTTTAATTTCATTTTCTTTTGCTCTGACATAAAGGACATATTTGTTTGTGGTTTTTCTTTTTATTTTATTTTTTATGTTTTTGGTATGTAAAAGACAATTCTCTTAAATTATAAAATGATCGAGGTGAACCTTTTACTGTTAAAGTAATATTTCCTGCTTAAATTTTAAACGATAAGTTGAATAGTGTAGGTGTTTAATCGTTATTTATCTACTTAGATATAATTCGTGATATTCATTTATATATATGCATGGAGTTGTTTACAAACATTACTATATGTTGGGATTATCTTTAAGATGACATTTTATTTATACTTTTTTCGTCAAAACTGATTTTTCTGATTTAATTCAAGCAGAGATTTTGATGTCATCTTATTTGTTTTATTAATGTGTTTTAAACATTCCCTTCCATGTACAACAATGTAAACCATTATATATGCTAGAAATGTTTAATGGGTATGTCAATTTTGGGCCCTTAATCAACTGGCCCATAATATAGTTTCGTTATTTTATTCGGGCCTTAAGGCTTCTTTATTTTATTTGTTAGTCTCATAGTTAGTCTAAACACTCAAAATTTACTCACGACCATCTCTATTTGCTTTTTTGACGTTGAAGTCAAGAAAAATGCCTTAAAATACTTTTTGTAACAGAGATGACGAATTTTACAATTGAATGATTAATGTGCTTTATAAAGAAACTCTTCATAATATATGATTGCAGTCGTTACTAATGTTTTTTTGCTCTCCATAGTGTTGAATTCCACTATGACCACCCCGCGAACGCACTGGTAAGTACTAGTAAATATAAATTCCAATCTATGTATTAATTGGATTTTGGACATAAAACCAGCATTCTATTTACCTAAGTTATTATTTGAGCCTACTATGAGTAAATAGCCATTTTGGTCGAGAAGCCCTTGGAAGAGGTCTTTTGTCATCATCTCTTCTTGAGTGAGATAAGCTTTTCTTTTTTGTTTAGGTTAAGATAGAATTAAGTGTGTGAGTCGGAATTTTCTTTTGTCTTTCCCTTCTTATGTGTGGAAATGGAAGAGAACTTTCCAAGAATATTATTAGAATAATTTTCTTTTAAGTAAGTGTATTAACCTTAGCAAACAAGAAAGCTACTCTATATATTTGGTACATGAATTGTTCATGAGAGATATTGAAGAATGTTTTTATGAAATTTATTTCATCTTTATGTTTCTAATGGAAGAGTCCATTGTTGAAGAATAATTTACAAGTGAGTAGAGATGAGGATTTCTCTCTTGTATTCCTCCACCTTCTAATTCACAAAGACGTTAGCTTCCTAGAACTTTAAACTAGGCTTAGCCGCAACAATTATGATATGTATATGTATATTTTATTTATTTATGTTCCAAGTTGTTGAATTTCTTTTTGTTTGCAACTTCCGACTTCGAAACTGACTTATTGTACACACTTTGGAGTAGATATGTGTTGTATTGAGAGAGAGAGAGAGAGAGAGAGAGAGAGAGAGAGAGAGAGAGAGAGAGAGATGTCAGAAACAATTTTAAATTTTAAGTATCAATATAAATTCCATGAAAAGTAAAAATAACTAAGATGGACACAACAAAATTCTTATTTCACATTGATGGTGTAGAGGCAGAGAAAACAAAAAAGAAAAAAAAAAAGGTTAAGGGTGAACTAATCTACCAAAGTAATTTGTATATAAACAAAAATGCACAAAAGTGAAAGGTTCATGTTGAAATGCCAGCACTATTGGGGACTTCAAAAAAACCCTCGAACATTTTATAAGAACTCATATTGGATAACATTTTTTGCCAAAATCTATAAAAACTGATTTACAAACCATGGAAAAAAAGTAGCCAGGTGGCAAACATAGCAGCACTGTAAAATGAAAAAAAAAAATCATATACACGTATTTCATTGTAAATGACAAGTTAAACTTCCTTCTAACTGGAGGAAAAATCACGAGCTGATATCACTAGCATACTACTTCTGTCCTAAAATAATTGTCTGACAACACAAGGCAATTATCATGAAATCCTCAAAAAATCCATGACCAATGACCTATCACAATCTCTACGTAAAGCTAAAAAGTTGAACACCGATCTAAATTCCTTTGTCAAAAGATAAAACTGGCAGAATTTTGAAGTCATATTCAGAAAGTCTAAAAATGTCAAAATCTGAGTAAAGTACTAATTTGAAGGTTAAAACTGTCTTACGTATGATTAAAAACTCCAAAAGCGGCGATGCCTGGGACCAGCTGGGGATGAAGAATCAATAAGAAATGATTTGAGGTGTTTGGCAAATTCCTTGGGCTTCTCCAAGTTCACCGCATGCCCTGCCTGCTGTATTACTTCTATCCTTGCATTCTCTCCAATGTGTTGCTTCAATCTATGACCCAATTCCACTGGGAAAATTTGGTCATGTTCTCCCCATATTATCAATGTTGGTTGGGTGACCTTAGGAATTTTGGAGAGTTGCCTATCTTTGAGTACGCTTTTGATTATCTCTTTTTTCTGTTCAACATAATCCGTGCACATAATATTAATGAAATCCGAAAGAAAGCATGAGGGAATTGCTTTAGGAGCCCTTACAAATGCAAAACACATCAACTCTTTCAACTTCTCTGGCGTCTGCGGCACCAAAATATTTGCGGCCTCTTCAATATTGGAAACCTTAAACAGACCCTCATCCATGTCCTTCTCCTCTAAACAAACACCTGTACAACACAACACCAATTTGTCTATCGCATTCGGGAATTGTACCGCCAAGCTATAACCTACGAATCCACCGTAGCTAATTCCGACCAAATTAGTCTTCTCTACACCATGGACATCCATCAACAATTTAAGGCATTGTGCCTGGAATGCCTCTGTTCTTTCAGGTCTCCTTGTCCATGAATTTCCAAAAAAGAGGAGATCGGGGACGTATATGTTGAACCTTGGAATGAATTGCCGAAGAAGATCTCCGTATTGCCACATTGCATTGGCTCCAAAGCCATGAACGAGCAGAAGATTGGGTTTGGAGGGTTTGTATATTTTGGGTACCCAACAATGCATCAGGGTTCCTTCTCCAAAATCTGTTGAGACAGATTTGAGTCCGGCATAGGCGAAAAATGAACGGTAAACCCAATCTGTTGATGCTGTGAAACTGAGGCATCTAGACATTTAATTTAATTTCAGAGATGATTAAATTGGTTGATCTTTTGATCTTATTGCTGAAGATAGTTTTCTTTTTGTTTTGACGAGTTTGTTAGAAATTTCAATTTTGAAGGAGTTAAAAAATAGTTCAAATAAAGGTGGATGAAAATGGGGCACTTGTTGCGGTAAATTTCCCACTTGTTGGCAATGTATTGTAGAACCAAAGAGAAGTAGATAGCTTTTGGCAAAGAGAAGCCAACAACGCTTTGTGTAATTGAATGAAAACTTGAACAAAAACAAATACTTTAGAATATATACATCATCGCAAGGAAAATTTTGCCACATAAGAAATCATATTTTTCAATAATTCATATTATTACTTCAAGTCCTCTATAATAAAATATACACATAAGATTACTGATATATTTAAAAATATTTTAAAACTCATTAAATGTGAAACATGTCAATTAGTTAGTTATGAAAACTTTCCTTGCTAATTTAACAATTGATGGAATTTTCAATACATGATGAAAAATGATTAAAATCTAAATCAAAGTCATCTCTATCTCCTGAAAAAAAAAATAGAAAATCCTTCAATATAATAAACATATAAGCAAATCTAATCAAATTATAGAAAATAAAGAAGAAGTTTCTAGTTCTCCTTAATTGCATTGGAAGATCATAATTTTAAAGATCTAGATTCACTTCTTATTTGTCAAACTTATGACATATGAGAAAATAAAAACTAAAGTGATTACACATGAGTGATCAGCCGCCTACCAGCTTGATTTAGGGGTGGGCACGGTTTAACCAAACCGCGAGAACCAGATTATTAACCAAACTGCTTCTAGAAGATAGGTGAATAGTGCGCTTAACGGATTCATGCTTTTATTTTGGTTTACCGGACCGAAATCTGTGGTTTCGTTTGTTTCGGTACGGTTAACCGGAAAACCGTGCATGATTCATGTGTTCATATTAGTAATAATATGGATATAAAATAGCATAACCTAAACCTTAATTATATAATAAATTCATTATTTAATTTACACACTTGATATTACTAATATAATTATTTGTTGAATATCCTAAATAATATTGTAAAGTGTAAACCCCTCGACATATTCATATGAAAATGAATAAGAATCATATGTATGAAAAAGAATCAAGGCATATTCCATTAGTATAGGGATTGGAAACATAGAGTCTTACATTATGACTGAACTCATTTCGACTTTAAATTTTGAACATGCATATTATATTATTGAAAATATTAAAATATAAAATTTTAAAGAGACGCAACAAGGCTCCAACTATCAGATGGAAATACACTTTAAAAAATATATACACACTATTAGAATTTTATTATTAAATGATTATTTACTATCGAATGTCCATCAACATAAAATATTATTGGATGATTTAATTGATCATCAATTAATAAATTTATTTTAACTCTTGAAATTTGTATTACAATTGTATTGAATATTTGTTGGAGTAGTTTCTTCATTTTACATTATGACTAAGTCATGAAAATTTTAGTTAAAAAAAAATTAACCAGTGTAATGTAATTAAAAATAATGTTTCGGTTCAAATGGTTACCGAACCGAAAAAAACTGAAGGTGTTTCGGTTTTTCGGATTTGGTCAATCGATGTATTCGTTCATATTATGGTTGGTAAATTTCTTATTAAAAAAATAAAAACCGATTTATCCATACTGAAAACCTCAATAACCAAGCCGCTGCCACCCGTAGCTTGATCGACATTCTCTACCTCCTCTCTTTTCACTTTAAAGATTCCACATATAGACATACTCTACGTAAACTCAAGTATATCACTACCAAAACTTCTCACTTCTAAAGGCAAAATATCTAAAGACCTATCAATCCCCAAAAGCATGCTACAATCAATGAAGATTTTGCACTTTAAAATACCCAAGAACTGAATATCTTGTAATGCTCCATTGTCATTGCTTCATATTCCTGCTAAAATTGAAAAGAACATCCAACCGTTACTTTTAACTAGCATACACATCCAGTCCCAAATTTCCCAACTAGCTACACCTTTACACTTATTCTGTTGAAATGAGCCATCAATGTACACCAAGTATCGTTATTAGTCTTATGCTCCATATGTGATTCTCTCACTCCATCAGCATCCATATTCCCATAAGGCAAAAACAATCTAGTTATATTAAAGAATGAACCATTCAAATCAATTGCTCTTTTCCAAGTTAGTTCATAAGAGTATTTAAGATTGCCCGAAATCGCCCTATTGCTGGCATTCAGCAGCCACTAATATAGCCATAAACTAAAAGGAGTTGAACCCCTCTGAGAAAAATCCAATCCCAAAGATAAAATGTGTTGATAACAATCTCGTAGACAAACCAAATTTCGTTAATGGAACCATCAACAAGAATATATGAAAAAGATATTTAAAAGTGAACTCTAAAAGAGTACGGAAATATTACAAATAAATGGATCATTGACACCGAAAGAAACCACCTTATGAACTCAAAGAAAACCCTAAACATAAAATCCAAATAATCACTCGAATTGAACAATCGAGTCGCATGGACTAAACCCTTCAATATAATCGAACAACCACTCATATAAATGTCGACACATGCAACGAGCAAATCACTACTCAACTACAAACAACAATATTCAAATAAGACATCCGTAACCAAGGTACCAAGCATGTAAAACACAAAGATTGGTATGTTGTTTCCGAGCAAACCTATCTATAGAATAGACAAACTCACCATAACATCTCATGCATAAATATTATAAGAAATTTGAATAACACTAGCTATAGAAAGTTATAACCAGTTGTCACAAAATCAATTTACAAACAAGACTATTAGTTTTAAAACAATTAAATCATGCAAAACAAACATGATAAAATGGTTTTACTCTAAGATCAGCTCTGTTAAATCTCAATGATAAAGAAATTGACTAACCGTACAATCTCTAAAACACAATAGTGGGTAATAACCAAAAAGAAAATTAATTTTGGGATAGGCTCATTGAATACTATAATCAAAATAAGAAGGGTGGACCTAATAGATTAAAGGAAAGAATCAAAGCGCAGTGACATTCGATGAGCAAACGTGTTAATGTATTCAATCAACACTACAATAAGGTAGTGAGAGGGCATCCTAGCGGGTGGAATGACAAGTTATACAGACAGTGGACTCATGCATTGTACCATTAAACCGAGAAGACACATTTTAAACTCAAGCACGTATGGATTTTGTTGAAAAATGATCCCAAGTGGAAAACAGTCAACCCTATGGAACAATCTTCCAAAAAGACCATGACCAATGAAAGCGGAGAATGTGTTACCACGTCTAGCCACGACTCAGGGTTTGACCTCAAAGAAAGTGTGCCAGAATATCGTCCAATGGGACAAAAGGCATCAAAGAGGAAAGGAAAACAAAAGGCTGGTGAAACTAGTTCGATCCCAGTAATTGAAAAAATTATGTTCATTTGGGAAAGAAAAAAAAAAACAGTTACAAAGAGTTAACGAACTCGGTCGAAAGTCTTACCTATGTGAAAGAGTATGATATATTCACAAAGGATAATACAAAGATGACTAAGAAGGATTTAGCCATTCACAACAATTGGTTTGCTATTTTTCGGAACAAACATAATATTATTGACTAGTCTATTTGGTTTGTCCTTTGTGATTTGCAGATCATATGTTGTATTTTATTGTGATTTTGTATCTTTAAATTTAGTTCTCATTCTCGTTGTTGTACTATGTAGCGTCAATTGATGTACTTTTCATTTATGGTCCGCTATTTGTCTCAAATTTAATAGTTTAAGCAATAATATAACATTTGAGCTTTTCTTTTTTGTTTGGGTTTTACATATATTTAAAAGCAAAAAAAGAAAGACTACTCAAAAAGGAAAAAAAGATTACTTCAAAAAAAAAACTGCAAAAAAGAAAAAAAATGAGAAGACTACTTGCCTTTACACGTACATCTGTCCACTGACCTTCACAAGAAAAAGGTTATTTTTTCAGGAAAAAATTGTAGTTTTTTTTTTTGGATTTATCATGTTTGATCAACACGTACATCTGCCCCATTGTTTTTTATTTCTTTTTGAAAAAAACAAAGGTAAGATAATGGAAAACCTTTTTTTCCCCTTCACAAAAAACCTAAAAAACAATCTGACAAAGTTAGTTGAAATGCTCACCAAATTTTGATCTGACCATTATCTTATCTTCAAAAAGATAAGGTTATTTTCTCAAGAAAAAAATTTTAGTTTTTTCTTAAATCATGTATTTCAGTTTTCCTATAAATATTTCATCACGTTCTATTTTATTTTCACCATTGTTCATCACTATTTCTTACCACTTTTTCATCGTTTATAGCTATTTTTTCCTCTAGTCCATTACCCCAACAAATAAATCAAACAACAACTCATCACTAAAATGTCTCAATATCCTGATGATACTCCCATTATGGCAAATTTGATGCAATTCTTAGAAGATGGAATGAGTGACGACCTTAATGAACAGATTTTTGAGCTATTGAATCATTTCGACCAAAATGAATCTGAAAGTTCCCGAACCCATACTCGAAGGCATTATAAATGAGATTGAGAAAAAGGACATGCTCAGCTTTTCAATGATTATTTCTCAGACAATCCAATATTTGCTTTGGATAAATTTCGTCGAAAGTTTCGAATGAGCAGAGATCTATTTATGCGAATAGTCAGTGCATCAGAAGTCTAATATGAATATTATCACTGGAAGACGGATGTTGCTGGTGATGTAGACATCCTAGGTGATCAAACTCAAGGACAAGTCAACATTCAACCGAATAATCAAGTTCGAGCTCAAGAGTGATTCAAGATCCATTAGTTAATATTGGAGGTCATATGACGAGGTCTCGAAGAAAGAAAATAAATGAGTCACTCAATAATTTGTTCATGAATGTTAAAGCTCTCAATGTGGATTCAATTCCATGGTTTTCATGTTTATCTTGGAGTAGAATTGAAACTTTTAGTGCAAGTCAAGCTCTTGGTCAAGGTGAGGAAGTTGACAACCAAGTCAACAGGAAGGCGTCAAGCAGAATGTCGGTCGACGAGGAGGGCGACAACGCACGGGCAGAATTTTCCTGTTTTCTATTTCGGTTAAGAAAAGGATTTTTCCATAATTTTATTAGTTTGGCCGACCCTCCAAGCCTTCTAAAAGATTCTAGTTGGTTTTAAATAATTGTGACATGTGCAATTATATATTTAAATATTATTTAAATCTATATTAGGAAACTTGGGAAGACAAATCCGATTTGAACTTCTGCTCGGATTTCTTTTTGTCCAAGCCAATCTTTGCCTATAAATATAGGGCTGGTCGACCATATTTAATATGAATTTGATAATTATTGATTTTCCAATACAAGACGAGAGGAAACTCTTTGTTCTTTTTCTATTCTTTTCGAAGATTAGTGCATTGCACACTTGTTTGTGCCTTGTTGACGCGTGCGCGTGATTTTAAGTGTTTTTCACATGTGGAGCTTTGTTAGTTTGTTCATTGGAACCTTTTCACTAGCCGTTCTATCCATAAATCGAAGGGATAGAATTGTTAGAGAAGAACCGATAGGGTTGCTAACACTACAAGAAAAACATTATTTGCCCACGAATACGTTTGTGTGTAATTTTGCCTTGCAGTCCGTAGGTAACACAATTTTCCACGGATTTATCCACTAACCCTGAGACGTGATTATATGCTCCGTTACTAATCATTTTTCCACGGAAGGAAGGCTTCCGTGGATGATTTATCCACAGATATATTCGTGGATATAATGTGTGTAAATATTGGTGGGTTTTAGGTAAAAATACGACGACTTATCCACGACACTGTGGTAGATAATCCGTAGTTAATTTTCACGACCATTCCGTGGATATTCTGTAGTAAATTTATCCACAAACCTATCGTAATAAAGTCGTTGATAATTTTATCTATGAACTTACCGTGAGTAATCTGTGGTTAATATTTTCTACAAACTTTTTGTAGCAAAATTGTGGATATTTTTATCTACAAATTGACCGTAAGTAATTTGTGGTTAATGTTTTTCATAAACTTTTGGTAGCAAATTTGTGGATAATTTTTATCTACGAACAGAACGTGAATATTCTGTAGTTAATTTTAATACGTATTTTTCGTAGCGAATCTGTGGATGATTTCAACTACGAGTTGTCCATGGAAAGCCCGTGGATGATTGTGAATACTAACTAGTTTCAGTTTTAAATTTAACCACGGAAGATTCTGTGGGAAATCAAATAACATCCGTGGTTAAAATAATATTTCTGTTTTTTGTAATTTTTTGGAAATTTAAAATTAAATATTATATAATTGTACAAATCATTAAAAATATTAAAATAAATTTAATGAAATGTACTACACTCCACAATCGGTTGATGTAATACAAAATAAATTACCAAAACATGAGAATTCAAAAATTTGAAAGACGAATTATAGTCAAACAAAATATTTGTTTTCATCAATATTCAAAAATCATTATCATCAACTAATCAGAGAGCCGGTCACCATGCATTGACTATCCATTAGATTCGCTACAATCCTCATTTCCCGAATCCATCGAACCGCTATCTGACTCGTTATCTTCCTCATCGCCATAATCCATAGAACCTTCTTGTGATCGGATTTCATCATCATCATCACTACTATCTGAAGTATAATTCTCCAATTCAACACTTTGCTTACCTTTAATTTGCACGCTCTCAGTTGAGAAGCCAAGATGTCCACATAAGCCATTAAACTTACTTTCCCAAAGAGTCCTTTCAGCTCGTAATTGCTTCTTTACAGCTTTCAACTCCTTACTCATAACAAGTATGGCTTTCTTGTATCGTGACTCTGTTTCCAAAGTCTGTGTTGCAGCTATCTTTTCAATTGGTGACGGAAAATATGTAGATGATTGGCACCCAAGACCATAGACTCTTCCTTTTTTCTTACCACCTGCAGCCTCAAAAAAAATGTCATCGTTGTCCATTGATTTATGAGACTGATCACCTTCCACAGATTCATGGTTTGCCTTGTGTCTTTTAGTCAATTGTATCACATTGTCCTGGAGTATTATACAAAAAAAAAAAATTATATCTCTATTAATTAAGCAATAAGGAAAAATCCCCAAAACAACAAAAACAATGTGTGTAAATTTAAACCAAAACTTACATTAATTTTTTTTGATTTACCATCAACAAATGTCTTTCGATCTTGTTTTTTCGTGTGCGTGTGCAAGAATAACTCGTGTGCTGTTGGCGGCCGACCATCTCTAACTTCCTGAAATAATAATCAATGAATTACTATGAAGGAAGTATTATGAGATGCAAAATCATTACAATAATTATAACACTACAATGTAATCTATAATTTATAGAGATTATAAAAAGAAAAGTTAAGAATCGCCTAAAGTTAAGAGTATCAAGCTTACTAGATTTATCTCATGCTCAAGGTATGAAATTGATCCACCAGTGTGAGATGCTTGTTTTAGACTCTTTCGGTTACTAGAATTTCGTAGGCACATTTTTTTATATTCATCAGTACTCCAATGATTTTTAAATTGTCTCCAAGCATTATCTGACAGACAAGCTGGTTTCTCATTTTTCTTTCTCAACTTCCTTGTGAACTCGCCATAGCATCGGGCAGCTTTTGTATCCCACTCGGCCCTCACTTGGCAGTCAAGCTCAGGCTCCCATTTAAAAAATTTCTACACATTTAAAATTATTATTACTAAACAAAAAAAAACTTAAAAAGGAAAATAAAACATGATCGATAGTACCTTAAACTCATAAAAATAGAAGTCCTTGGTGGGTTGAGAAACTTTTGACCACGTGAACCCTCCTACATCAATTTTCTCCGTAAACTTTTTTGATGTTTTTCTGGCCCCATCACTGAAAATGCGTACTCTGATACAATCATGGAAAAGATAAAAAGATAAGAAATCAAACAAATAAACTATATTAAACATAATAACATATTTTAGAGTACTTACTTTCCCTTGTACACCTTAATCTCTGATCTAGCATCCTTAATATGCGATTGAGAGTTCTCATTATTTGTCTGAGAACCTGAGCGGTGAACAATGTCATTTGTTTCTCTTGCATCATGAGACATAAAACCCCTTTCTTCTTCCACTCGTTCATGTGATTGGTATTGATTCTTGTCTATTGTTGATCTTGAACGTGGAATATCATTCGTCTCATTATGTGATATCTCTAGAGTGTCTTGGGGTGAATCTCTCCTTCTTCCATGAGTAGCTTGTGCACCTCGGTGAATAGATTTGCCACCCTTGCCAAATTTACTCTTGGTCATATTCGTAACTAATTTGTAAGATCTGAAACAAATTAATAATAATAATAATAATAATAATAATAATAATAATCTTTCTAATTTGTCCATTTGAAATGCCTCCAGAACACATCAAATACAAGAAGCAGCGATTTCAAATTAAGTATAACCTCGAACTAAAGATATACTAGATCCATGCAAATTGATGCACCAAATAACAACCTCCTAGCCAAAAGTAGCATATATAAGAGACAAAACATTGACCATGACCTTTTCTACTTCGGTTAGGTGTTTTTTCATCTTTTCCTCCACAAATTAACTACCAAACAAACTCCTCATATATTGAATAAAAAAAAACAAAAAGGAAAGCAAAGCATGGCCTCGGCCAAAACAGTATCTTTGGAGCAAAAAAAACTTATAAAAATGGCTCTACCAAACAAAGATCACAAATTCATCAGAAAAATATACCTCTCGACAAAAAATGTATGCACTCGGGACATGCAAATTTATTATCGGTCATGTCAACACTCTCATATCCGATTATTTCTTTCTTTTTTTTTTTTGTACGCAAAGGAAGTAATAAGAAACAATATTAAATTTAGAAACCCAAATCTGTAAAACACTTGGAAAAAAGTAATCACGTGCTTTGACGTCCATTAGGCAAATCACACGAAACTAATTTCTTTATTTAAATTTTTTTTTTGCCAACTCCTGCAAATCCTACTAAACAAACTGCTCTTATATTGAATCAAAAAATATAAAGAAGAAAGAAAAGCATGGCCTCGGCCAAAGTGGATCTTTGGAGGAAAAAAAACTTATAAAAATGCCTCTATCAAACGAAGGTCAAAAAATCATCAAAAAAATGCCTCCGTCAAAGCAATTCATCGCTTGTATCTATTAAGCCATATATGCAAAAGTAAAAAAAAAATTATAAGAAATTTAATCGTAACAAAGCAATATGTATTATCGAACATTTTGGAATTTACGATTTGGTGCTCTCTATGTCCGGCCGATTGGATCGCCGTGGTCCGACACCAACTGGAAAATTTGTAGTATGGATGAGGAATTTAGGTTGAGTTAGTGGAAATTGGGGGTTGTTGCCGACGGGAAATTTTGTAGTTTAGGATGAGGGTTTTTGTTTAGTAGTTCGTGAGAAAATTAACTCCACCCCTAATATGTAATGTTATTTGCTTTGTTTTAATATAAATGAATTTTCAAAACAAAAAGTTCATGAGAAAATGCTGCTACATTCTAGGCCCAGCGGGAGCTTTGAAAAAATCTAAAAATTTCGAGGCAAAATGGGGAGGGAAAACTCAATTTGGGCCAAAAAAAAAAAGGCTACGTTCCTTTTTGTTTTTATTTTTGATTTTTTTAATTTATTTATGGTGCCTTTTGTTTTTATAAATTGAACTAAATTTTAATATTAATAAATAATAAAGTAAAGGCTCCCTTGAGTGATTTATTTTAAAAAGGTAATTAGTAAAAATTATTAACTAAGCTTTATGTCCCAACAAAAATAAAAATCAATTAACTTTATAATATTATTTTATATGTGGAATGAGATCTTATGTAGTAGTATGGGTCTAAGTAGATATCACATTTAGCATATCATATTTGGGGTCTAAGTAGATATTATAAGTTTTGTTACACATATACAAAGTGTAAGTAGACATTTTACATTATATGATTAACTATTGATACATATATATATAAGAGTTAAAAACACTATACTTAACTTGCAGGTATTTAAATTAAAATATGTTATATGCACTATAAATAATTGTAATATTACATTTGTACATTACAGTGAGAAATTCGATCATCCGATGAAACTGATAGTTGAGGTCGGCTAGTTAGAAGTTACTTTTTTGGCCGACGGATGAAATTACCCTTTGAAACCTTTTTTTTTTTTTTTGACCCTCTTGGTTGTGGTTAAGTATTAGAGTTATTTATCATAATAAAATATTTAAAAGATTAAAATCAAAGATAAATTATAGATTTATATATATTTACCAATGTTCACCAATGATATTATTAGAACATTACCCAATAACAAAATGTTTTACGTGAAAAATTAAATGTTGCATTAGTCTTAATGCATTAATTGAAATTGAAAAAAATTTCGTTGAGGATGTAATTGAAAAAAATAGCATTATTTTGGATTGAAATAAGAGAAAGTTTAATTAAGGATGTGACTTTGTAAATTAATTTGGTCATCTTTGTAATTTTAAAGGGGAAATTATGGTTTTTAGACTTTTAGTGGTATAGATATAGATTTCTGAAAAATTATAAACTCCCCAAAAGATTAAGGGGGAAAAAAAAAAAGAAAACCCAAAAGCCCCTTTTCCCCAAATATTCCCACGTTGGTTTAATACTAGTTTGGAGTACCACCAAGTCCAGTTTGCATCACCACCGCGAACACCGCAAGCCTGGTCGCCATCTCTGTAACTTTAATGGATGAATAAATGGCCGCCATCTCTGTAACAAGAAAAAACCCCCAAAAGCCCCTTTTCCCCCAAATTTTTTTCACGATGGTTTTGTAGTATGTACCAGTTTGGACTCCTCCTTGCATTACCACCGCGATCACCACAGCCCTGACGCCATTCATCACCATCACAACCTCCTCCTCACCACCAAATTCGAATTTGTTTGGAGTTTCTTTCGACACTGGAAAGGATAATTGTGTTTAATTGTTCTAAGGCTGTTGTAGATTTGGTAAGACAGATTGAGGAACAACAGGTGGAGCTGTGTGGAAACACAAATCTTAAGGTCATTATTCGATCAACACGGCATTGATGTTTTGTATCTTTTTTCTCTTTTTTTCCTTCCCTTTAAATATCTCTTCAAGACTTTAGAATATCGAGTGCATTTTTCATTATTGTTGAGTACTATAGATCCATGGATATGAATGTAGAAGGTTACATGCTTTACGTTCGATCTTAATTTGCATCTCTCTTCAAATTCGATTAGTCTAGTTAGGCCAGAGTAACGTTTTGTTACTCCCTAACATAATTACAAGAGTTCAAAGACGGGGTCGACCTCGGGTTAGTTCCCTTTCATAAATTTGTATGAAACCGTGGATTTAATTTTCTCAATCCTCCTCTCCCTCTCGTGTGTGTGCTCTCTCTTCTTGGTAGCTATAAACACCAAAGGTGGTAAAAAAAAAATTGTTGTGTAATTAGTTTATAATCTATGCTTAATAAATTTTGAATCAAATTAAGAAATTAGGGGAACTACTAACCGGTATACTCTAAGCTCCTTTGTTGCATGACGTCCTTGGTTGTTAGCTACTGTAGTTAAGGAATCTGTAGATGATTTGTTTATTTCCTGGGAGTATGAAGCTTAATTGCGAAGTTACTAAAGGAATTAGAAAAGTAAGTCCACATTGAACTTGCTATCTTGTGTTGCCTAATTATCATGTTTTATGGTCATCTCTGTCCAAGTTTGATTGGTGTTAACTATCATACTTTAGAGTTAATTCTTCATTCTTATGATTGTTAATTGGCTTTACTGACTTTGAAGAGAACTTGATTATACTAGACTTGTCATTCTCTTTTTTTTTTTCGAAATAGCAGAAAAAAAAATTCAGATTTGGGACCGTCTATTGACAGGCCTCTTTCTCCTAGCTCTTAAAGTTTTTTCTAGAATTTCTTTTCATCAGTATCATCTATATTCAGTTTACTTTTCTGTGGTTTTTTTGGATTTCAAAACGGATTTGTTGATTAGCCAAAATCTTGATTTGAACATGACAAGCATTTCCTGAAAATCTATGCTGAGCTGCTGTTTTGGGGGAATCGTTTCTCCTGCTTCCTGAACTGTTTTACAAGAATTCTTTTGTTAAATCTCTTCTATGTTTATGGTAGTTTATTGTAGATTTTGCGGATCGTAAATTGGAGCTATGGATTTCCCGAAAAGGGATTCGAACTTGATAAACCAAATCTGGAATTTCTATAACAAACTGATTTGAAGTATTGTTTTGTAGTCCAATTTTCTCCTGAGTCCTGAACTGTTTTACCTGATTTCTTCAGTCAAAACTCTTCCTTGTTTACCCTAGTTTAACATGGTTTTGACGGCTCGTAAATCGGATCTTTGGTTTGATCAAAAATGCACTTTTAATATGAACATTGATCTCCAGGTTGCTGAATTTTTAGAATTTGAAAAGAATTAGAGGTTAATTTGGAGCTTTTGTTTTCCTTGACCAAATATCATTTCCTCACCTGATTTTCATCTTTGTAAACCTTGGCTGAACCAAGTGTTCAGTAGAACTTGCAGATTGGAATAACATTTCAATACTTAGGAAACACCTATGGAGGTTAATGATTAGAATATGGCATTTTCTGAATTTTGTATGTTTTGTTTATTCTGAATATGGAAACACCTATGGAGGTTAATGATTAGAATATGGCATTTCAATACTTAGGAAACACCTATGGAGGTTAAGAAGGGAACTTACGTGGTACATACTTTTATGTGGTTGTTTTATATCTTTTCAGATTATATGTATTGTGGTCCAAATGAGAAGTGATCGTGAATGGATGTATAAGAGGTTCTCACCAGGCACTAATTATATTAACCCTGAGTTTGTGTACGGAGTTAAATCATTCATCCAATATGTCTGTCAACAACCAGATTACATGGATAATGATAAAATAAGGTGTCCATGTCGTAAATGTCATAACCGAAGATATGTTGAGCTACACCTTTGTAAGGTTGGGTTTCGTGAGGATTATTATGAATGGGTTTGCCATGGGGAACAAAAAGCTGAGTTACAGTCCTCACAATCCGACAATAATGCATCCACAAGAGATATTGATGGATCCAATATGTATCGCAACATGGTTATAGATGCCATTGGTCCAAGTTTTGACCCACATTTTGGTGAACAATCCAGCGATCATGAAGAGCCATCAGATGCAAGGACTAAAAGGTTATACGACATGCTCCAAGAAGCAGATCAACCATTGTATCCAGGATGTCCAAAGTTATCACAATTGTCTACTGTTGCAAGATTGTTAAGCTTCAAG